GATTTAAAGGATCAGCAGAACAGAAACTTACCCAAAAAGGCAGCAAAAGTGGTCAAATGCTGAAGTGCCGAATGAGAATTTGGAAATATAGACCCCAAGGAGAAAGGAGGGTGGGGTGGGGTGGCTGTTGTGAGAAAGGGTGTCCCTATCATTACTGAACAGTGTGATCAAAGACTCTGTAGAAGAATCCCGATCACGGGAGAAATGCAGGATAGAATTCCATATGCTCATGGACTCCAGATTTGGGAGCCAAGGAAGTTGCATGAACCCCTCAAATGATTGCCCGAGATAATCTTTAAAACCGAAACAAAAAATATGCCCTGAAGGTTTCTTAAAGCCGAGTAGTGTTTAGCTTAGCTAGTGAAAAACAGGGTCTGCCCTGAGCTCCGTGCTCCTTTACGAGCCATCTACATGGGCTCGGGGAACACGGCATCTTGAAAGATGGGACAGGGACCCTGCAGGCAGGAGAAGGGCGAGAGTGATCGCAGAACATGCGGGTTACACAGTCGGGTCTCAGGAATTCCTCGGGTTCCTCGGCCACTAATTAGAAACCCACTGCTCTGAGGAGACGCGACCGTCGCTCAGGTGACTTGTAAGGCAAGTGCTCTGTTTTTATTAGCAGAGAGGGTGAGCATTGATCCAGACAGGCTGTCCTTCATCCCAGGCTTATGTTTTCTCCTGCCATAGCTGCACGTCTTGGCTTTCTCCATACTTTGGGGACTCTGTTGTTCTCTAAAGGTCCCTGCCCTCAGGGACTGCACACCACTCAGTGTACCTGTTTTCCTCCCAGCAGCATAGTTCCATGTGAAGACTTAAGTGAGAATGGAGTTTCCCAGACCTTAATGAATATTGATTGGATCTCTTCTATTTGTTTAAGGGATCTTGATGACTTTGTTGACTGTAAACCACCTGATCATGCATTCAAACCCACCAGCTACTCTGTGAGAGCAAGATGAGGCTGATCCGATAAAGATGTACAGGCTCAGAAACCCACAGTGGACAGTTCTGTTCTGTGGGTCACTGAGAGCTGGAATGGACTAGATGGCTCTGGGTTTGGTTGGGGGTTTAGGCTTTTGTGTGCTTTGCAGCTGTGGTCGGTTCTATTGCAATGTGTGTCTCAGCAGTCAGACGAGGTGGGCCCGAAAGAAAAAAAAGAGGCTAACGAGGAGTCATAGGCTCCCAGGTGCCAAGATCGGTTATTTAAACAGAAGGAAAAACCCAGCCAAGCCCTCCATTGGAGCCTCTCTTCCTTTGGTTCATGTTGGCTTCCTGAAACATGGATCCCGGGAGCCTTTTCACGTGGGCTCTCTCTGTCCTTTATCCAGATTGGTGGCAAGACTCTTTGAGATGAGTCCGTTTGAGCCCTGGACCACGAGGGATAAAGTGGAGCGGGTAAGTGTGGCAGGGCAGTACTTGCAGAGTCCCCGAGAAGGCTAAACAAACAAAACCTCCCTGCTGTGGAGTTGATGCCAACTCATAGTCAAGGACAGGGGAAGTGACCCTGCGAGTCCCTGAGACTGTACCTCTTTACCGTAGACCCTTTCTAACCACTCTGCTGCTAGGGCTGGGGCGGGATCGGATGGGATTCGTGCGTGTGCGTGCTCACTTGCTGGATTCATTTCATTTCATGTGCCCGTCTGATAATTTCCTCTCTGCTACCGTGCACTGGCTGCGTCTGCTGTGCTCTCAACCGACCGCAGGCTGCTCCTCCCTGACCTTATCTCCCGCGTCCAATCGCCCTTCCCTACTGGGCCGTTCCCAGCAAGATGCTAGGGAGGGAGCCTGGATTGCCTTCCTTTATTTTCCAAAATGGCAAATGCCTCCTTCTCACCCTCACCATGTGCTCCCGCCCTGTTTGCCTCTGACCTTTACGGTATCACCCTTCCAGAGCGTTGTGTCTGCCCACTGCTGGCAGCTTCTCCCCTCATCTTTCCTTGACCTGGGCATCCTCAAACTACGGCCTGTGGCCACATGCGGCCCACCAAGGACATTTGTCTGGCCCACTGGGTGTTTTTTACTTCAAAATAAGATATGTGCAGTGTGCACAGGAATTTGTTCATAGTTTTTTTTTAAAACTATAGTCCGGCCCTCCAACGGGTCTGAGGGACAGTGAACTGGCCCCCTGTTTAAAAAGTTTGAGGACCCCTGCTTAACCCATTCCCATCACAATGCTGAAACTGTTCATTTCAAGGCTGCTCCTGGTCTCCACGCTGCCAAACTCAGCTGTCAGTTCCCCATCCTCACTCACTGCATCTGTGAGCAGCATCTGTCAGAGGGGACTCGCTCTTTCTCAGAAGCCTGTCTTGCCACCAGGATTCTGGCCCACAGTACATCTTCCTGCTGCCCGCCTTGCCAGCCCAGGCTTCTCAGTCCCTGCCCTCTGCCCTCAGCTCGGCTCCCTCTTCACGTGGTGTCAGAATGACCCGCCCAGGCTCACGCTTGCTCCAGTTGCTCTCTCTAGGCTCCTAGCTGCAGCTTTCTTTCTTGGCCTGATCATTAGCCCTGAGTGCCAGCCTCTTCTCCTGCTTGGGGGTGCTGTACCAAAGTTGTCTGAGGAGCCCTGGTGGCAGAGTGGGTAGGCTGCCAGCTGTACCCCCAGGAGACAGATGAGGCTTTCTAACCCCGTGAAGATTTACAGCTTCCCCTCTGATAGAAACTGTGTGGAAACCTCTGAGGCCTTTCTCAAGATGCCTTTTATATGGGTGAGGGGTGTGGCTCTTACCTTTCTAATTAAGAAGGTGTTGCTATAATAAGCAGGCTTTGAATTTGATTCAGAGACTGCCTTACAGCGCTCTACCGAAAGAACTGCCAACTCTCCACAAGGAGGCGAGGGGCCGGGGCCGGTGCTGCTGTGTGTGCAGCTGCCTTTTCTTTGTGTGCTTGCGCTGGGTATGGGACCTCTGACTTGGGGTTGGGTTTCTTAGCTCTGGAGTAAGCAATCGCCAGAACCAGGTTCAGAACAGCTGGAATGAACCATTCATTTTTTAATAGGCAGTGAATAAGTACTACACAAACTTCTTAATCCAACAATTAGAGACTGAGGCAGGACAGCTGTGCCCAGAGCGAGGGATCCCAGGGAGAAGTGGGGCGTCAGCTAGCTGGGCTTGCTTGCTGCTGTCAGTTGCTATGGAGTTGACTCCAGCTCTGGGCAGCGTTATTTCCAGGCGAACATTCATTGTGCCGCCTCCACAGTTGGTGTGCGTGAGCCCATTGGTGCAGCCATCGCGAGGAGGGGCGCCTTTGTGATCGCTGGCTCTCTGTTTGCAAGCACTCGTCCCGAAGTTCCACTTCCGTGACCTGAACCTCCTGTGCAGCCACTTGCGGCAGGGGTCATCGGTGGCCTCCTGGGGTGCATTTCCGTGGCAATCTGGGAAGGGCTCCTCTAGAGGCCGTGTCCGGTGCTCATGGACTCAGCCTCCTCCGATCTCATCTACCATGACCTTGCCTGGGCTTTGCTTTGTTTCTTTTGTAAGCCCACTTTTGTGTTCTCAGTACGTTCCAGGGATCAAACACTACCACCTAGTGCTTGAGAACAGTGGACGCCCCAGGAATGGGAGACAGGTCAGCGTGGCGGTTAAAGGTTTGTCAGGACAACACTCATTAGTCCCACCCACCTCTTAATACTCTCTGTGGTTCTTTGTTTCCTTAAAGATTCACATCTCAGACATGAAATTACCTCACCTGCCTGGCTTAGAAGACCTGGGTATTCAGGCAACACCCCTGGAGCTCAAAGCCATTGAGGTGCTGCGTCGTCATCGTACGTACCGCTGGCTGGCTGCCGAAATTGAGGATGTGAAACCGGCCAAGACCATCGACGTGTAGTGAGCCTGGAGCAGCCCTGGTGTCTGGTGCCACTCAAGTTCACCCACGGTCCTCAGAGAACCTTGTACGTAGGGAATACGACCTATTAAAATGTCTCAGATCAATTGCTGCAGCATTTTCTTCCGTGGTTTACTGACTGAGAAATCCAGTCTCTTAATAATTGAGTATAACTTCCTTTAAATATTAGGGAACGTCCATTGTGGAAAATGGAAGTAAACATAATGGGATTTTCCCACTAACTCTGGAAGCCGCCTCCTTTCCCCTATGCATATGCATGTATGAGAGTAAGTCAAAAGAATTGCTAGAAAATCATAAAAACAGTTTTAAAACCAAAATCCCAAAGTGGGCAGCTGTTGTCCCTCTGCATCCCCTCCATCCCGGTTCATACCCATCTAATGGCCGTGCTCCTGTCTCTAACCCTTCCCCTGGAGAATTCTGCCCTCTGATTGACACCATGTCAAAACCCAGCTTGAGCATCCTTGAAAGACTCATCGTAATTTTTTTAAACGTTCTTTCGAGTTTTGGGAACAACAAAGTCTGGGTGGACAAGATCAGGACTATAGGGTGGATGGAGTTACATTTCCCACTAAAATTTTCGTAGGACAACTGGGTATTCACAAAGAGTGAGCAAGTGTATTGTTTTGATGGGGGTGGAGGGGCCGGGACGGACATCCATGGTATAACTATTCTGGCCCTTTTCTCACTCAGGGAGTTTTCCATTAAAACCTCATCACATAGACCGCAGACTATCCTGTGTCCTTTAGAAAGTCTTAGGAGGAGTGTCCCTTTGGCGTCCCAGACCAGTTGCCGGAACCTAAGCGGCCCTCTGCCTTGAATGGAACTGGCCCAGCAGACCCTGTAAGAAGCCACTGCCTCGACTGGACCTGTGTTGAAGGTACCCTAACGCCGAGACAGCTTGTCTGCATTTACCCGCTCACCGCAGAGACGTGTTTAAGGATGTTCTGGTTGGGAGTAGACCCCCCGCATGGGTGAACGGGGACCCTCCTAGCACTAACCTGCTTTCCTGTGTCTTCCCTTCTGAGATACAGGGAGATGCGTCGAGCTCCCCCGTGCCGAGCCTCTTCTAGCACACTTTCTGGAAGATAGACTTCACGGGCAAATTGTGGAACCCGAGGGCTCCGTTGCCATCTTATCCCTGATCTTAGAAAATGCAAAATGTCCTAACCGAATCTGAATTTATTCACATGCAAGGATTTTAAAAGTATATCTTAATGACATCTACATACAGCTGAAAAATAGTACACTTAAATACAAACATTCTCTGTGGACGTGGATTCTCAAGCCCTGGTCTTTTAACAATCTGAGTTATATAAGGCCTCCGTCCCAGGCTGTTAGAACCACAGTGGGATTAATATCTAGATTACACATGGGTGTAGACAGATTCTCTCCCATGAAAGGGTGGTGCCACCGCCTCCCTGTCGCATACAGTGTTGGTTTTAGGGTGTTTTGCTTACATCATTAGTATTACAACCAGGAGCCAGATGAGTCACTGATTCACTGTTGGCTAATCCCTCTGGGTGGCTTGACTGGAAAGTTTCATATTCTGTGTTTAAGCCAGCACAGCCAGGTTTCCACCAGACATTGTTAGGATGGGAATGTCAGTAGAAGCCTTGGCCAGTTAAGGTAATGCCCATCTCATGTTCACAGAAACAAGTGCATGTATGTTGAAGTGACTTCTCTACCTACCCATTTCACGCACCAGAATCTTTGATCCCAAAAGAATGTGTGCTACTCAAGAGAACAATGTCCATGAGCCAGCAGCATCAGTGTTGCCTGAGGGTGTGCTGGAAAGGCCGAATAGCAAGCTCTACTCCAGACCAAACAAGGCCAGTGTTCAACCTTGAGTATATCCCCCTCTGAATCTAAAGACTGGGAAACTTGCTCTTCAAGGTAGAACCACTAAGTCATGAGCAAGTAGGATTGCTGAACACAGATTTCACGGGGTGGTTCGAGAAGACTTGTGTGTTATATTGAAATGGAGGAAAGTCAAGGGAAATAGAGGAAAGAGCTGGTAGGCAAAGGGGCATTTATAGAGGTCCAGATAAAGACATGTACATATGCAAATATATTCATGAGGATGGGGAAATAGATCTATGTGC